GCGCTTCACCCTCCTCTGCTTGAGCAAAAATCTCGTAATATTCTGTCTTTTAAGAAATTAAAATTTTATCATATTTTTAAAAATTTCCTATAGGAAATGTATATATAATTTTAAAACAAATACAATTAATCCTGTTTAAATAGAGAAAGTAGTACTGATTATATATAACTCGGTCTTTGCTTTAGATAATGCTCAACACGTGCCCTTAATATTCTCCGCACTGATCCCATTACTCCTTCTCGCGATTGGTGCCGCGAAATTTTGAATTAAAAACTATCGTTAACAGGTGTTTAGATTCATAAACTACATTTAACAACTCTTAAGTATAGTTTACGAGTGTGAATTATAGTTTATGACGATAAACTATGATTGACAAATGTGAATCATAGTTCAGCTCTCAAAACTATAGTTTGCGATCGGTAAGTATAGTTTACGTCTGTTAAATATTGTTTGTGAGTATAAATGACAGTTAACTATAGTTTACGACCGAAAACTATAGCTAACGAATGTAAAACATATTTATGGCACGCCAAATTCACAAAAAATGAGCTAATCATAGTTTCACAGTTGATAAACTAGGTTTATCGACTGTAAACTATAGTTTACGGACCGTAAACTACAGTTAACGATGATAATCTATATTTCACATCTGTAAACTATAGTTTACACGATAATCTATGTTTCACAAGCGTAAACTATAATTAACACGGAAAAAATCATTTGCTACTGCAAAATATAGTTTATCTGATAAATATAGTTTCACGATTTGTAAACTATCATTTACAACTCTAAACTATACTTAACAAATGTAAATTATAGTTTTGGGTTTGTAAAATATACTTTACAGACATACAAAGCGCCAAATTCACAAAAATGCGATAAACATAGTTTTACATTTGAGAAACACAGTTTAGGAAAGAAACTTATTTTGTATCGGAGATGCACAATTTTCTGTAAAACTAGATTTCATGACCCTAAACCATAGTTTACGATCAAAACTATAGTTAACAACAGTTTGGGGTTTTTTTTGTAAATTATAGATCGGCTAATCCTAGTTACAGCATTATAAGATTTTGCTATGTAACGACAATTACATGTATATCTTATATTAATCTGTAAAAATAGGACATAACACAGTGCATATGTAACATTGCAGGCGCGGAATTTATTTTTCAACAACCGAATTTTCTTCATACATAAATAAAAGTGGCCTTTTACGGAACACTTACTTTTAATTAGTAAAAACACAACAAATATTTGGGACTTCTCTCTCACACACACACACACACAAATTCAAAGGAGGACGTTGAAACCCCCACAACCCCATCTAGATCCGCCACTGCATTTCCTCTCTTTCAGTTTCTTTGTTTTGGTGATGAGATGTGGCGGGAAAATGCTTGGCATATTGTAAAACGCGCTTCACCCTCCTCTGCTTGAGCAAAAATCTTGTAATATTCTGTCTTTTAAGAAATTAAAATTTTATCATATTTTTAAAAATTTCCCATAGGAAATGTATATATACACGACATTTTAAAACAAATACAATTAATCCTGTTTAAATAGAGAAAGTAATATTGATTCTATATAACTCGGTCTTTGCTTTAGATAATGCCCAACACTTGTCCTTAATCTCCGCACTGATAAAACCTCTCGCGATTGGTGCCGCGAAATTTTGAATTGAAAACTATCGTTAACAGGTGTGTAGATTGATAAACTATATTTAACACCTCTTAACTACAGTTTACGAGTGTGAATTACAGTTTATGACGATAAACTATGATTGGCAAATGTGAATCATAGTTTAGCTCTCAAAACTATAGTTTACGATCGATAAGTATAGTTTACGTCTGTTAAATATAGTTTTTGAGTATAAATGACAGTTAACTATAGTTTACGACCGAAATCTATAGTTAACGAATGCAAAACATATTTTATCTGATAAATATAGTTTCACAATTTGTAAAACTTTGATTAACAACTCTTAACTATGGTTAACAAATGCAAATTATAGTTTACATATGAGAATCTATATTTATCATCAAAATCTATTGTTAACGTTTATTTACAGACAGATAAACATAGATTAGCATTCGTAAACTACACTATACAACCGTTAAATATAGTTTTACAAATGCAAACTACAGTTAACGAATCGTTAACTATAGTTTACAGTTCGTAATCTATAGTTTACAATCGATAAACCTAGTTTATCAACTGTTAAACTATGTTTATCTAATTTTTGTGAATTTGGCGTGCCATACATATTTTATCTGATAAATATAGTTTCACGATTTGTAAAACTTTGATTAACAACTCTTAACTATGGTTAACGAATGCAAATTATAGTTTACATGTGAGAATCTATATTTATCAGGAAAATCTATTGTTAACGTTTATTTACAGACAGATAAACATAGATATGGCACGCCAAATTCACAAAAATGAGCTAATCATTATAGTTTCACATTTGATAAACTAGGTTTATCGACTGTAAACTATAGTTTACGGACCGTAAACTACAGTTAACGATGATAATCTATATTTCACATCTGTAAACTATAGTTTACACGATAATCTATGTTTCACAAGCGTAAACTATAATTAACACTCAGAACAATCATTTGCTACTGCAAAATATAGTTTATCTGATAAATATAGTTTCACGATTTGTAAACTATGATTACAACCCTAAACTATACTTAACAAATGTAAATTATAGTTAAGGGTTTGTAAAGTATACTTTACAGACATACAAAGCGCCAAATTCACAACAATGCGATAAACATATTTTTACATTTGAGAAACTCAGTTTAGGAACAGAATCTCTTATTTTGTATCGGAGATGCACAATTTTCTGTGAAACTAGATTTCACGACTCTAAACCATAGTTTACAATCAAAACTATAGTTAACAATAGTTTTTTTTTTTTTTTTTTTTTTTTTTGTAAATTATATATCGGCTAAGCCTAGTTACTGCATTATAAGATTTTGCTATGTAACGACAATTGTCGTTAAATATATATGCATATGTATATTTCTTGTTGGCATTAAAAGTAAATTATTGATTAAATTTTTTTTTAATTTAACAGAGAAAAATAGAGAGAAATGTTAACCGTCTGTAACCAAATTTGTCTTCAGCAACGGAAGAAATCGGTGATATCTATCCTTGCGGTCTTTCCAACCTTCTGTGCTGATCAAACAATAATTAATGAACAAGAAACATATTGATGCAAGCGTCAAAAATCGGTCACAAATCTGCCAATTGTTCCTTTTATGAGGCAACAAATTGAAATGCGTGATCTGTTATTAATAAAATGCATGTATATCTTATATTAATCTGTAAATATAGACATAACACAGTGCATATGTAACATTGCAGGCGCGGAATTTATTTTTCAACAACCGAATTTTCTTCATACATAAATAAAAGTGGCCTTTTAGGGAACATTTACTTTAGTAAAACACAACAAATATTTGGGACTTCGCTCTCTCTCTCTCTCAAATTCAAAGGAGGACGTTGAAACCCCCACAACCCCATCTAGATCCGCCACTACATTTCCTCTCTTTCAGTTGATAAGATGTGGCGGGAAAATGCTTGGCACATTCACCCTCCTCTGCTTGAGCAAAAATCTCGTAATATTCTGTCTTTTAAGAAATTGAAATTTTATCATATTTTTAAAAACTTCCCATAGGAAATGTATATATACACGACATTTAAAAACAAATACAATAAATCCTGTTTAAATAGAGAAAGTAATATTGATTGAATATATAACTCGGTCTTTGCTTTAAATAGATAATGCCCAACACGTGTCCTTAACATTCTCTGCACTTTCTCGCGATTGGTGCCGCGAAATTTTGAATTAAAAACTATCGTTAACAGGTGTTTAGATTCATAAACTACATTTAACAACTCTTACGTATAGTTTACGAGTGTGAATTATAGTTTAAGACGATAAACTATGATTGACAAATGTGAATCATAGTTAAGCTCTCAAAACTATAGTTTACGATCGATAAGTAGAGTTTACGTCTGTTAAATATAGTATGTGAGTATAAATGACAGTTAACTATAGTTTACGACCGAAAACTATAGTTAACGAATGCAAAACATATTTTATCTGATAAATATAGCTTCACGATTTGTAAAACTTTGATTAACAACTCTTAACTATGGTTAACGAATGCAAATTATAGTTTACATATGAGAATCTATATTTATCATCAAAATCTATTGTTACCGTTTATTTACAGACAGGTAAGCATAGATTAGCATTCGTAAACTACACTATACAAACATTAAATATAGTTTTACAAATGCAAACTACAATTAACGAATTGTTACTATAGTTTACAGTTCGTAAACTATAGTTTACGATCGATAAACCTAGTTTATCAACTGTTAAACTATGTTTATCTAATTTTTGTGAATTTGGCGTGCCACACATAGATTAGCATTCGTAAACTTCACTATACAACCGTTAAATATAGTTTTACAAATGCAAACTACAGTTAACGAATCGTTCACTATAGTTTACAGTTTGTAAACTATAGTTTACGATCGATAAACCTAGTTTATCAACTGTTAAACTATGTTTATCTAATTTTTGTGAATTTGGGGTGCCATAGACGTGTTCAAATAGAACCATGGAGCCATTAATGTCTAACCCTAGCAAAATAAAAAAATCTTTCAAATAAAATCTTTAATTAAAAGAATAACATGCAATCATTCATAAATTTACATATGACTTGAGATTGATCAATCACACCTTTCTTAGTCTCATTTCCATGATTATATATTTGCAAATACCTACAGGTTGATTAATGAATTAGACACTACCTGATCTGATTTGATAAGAATTGATTCGGACAGGATTCCAACCATTTTGCCATGAAGTACATATTTCAACTTTTAATGCCATAGCAAAGCTTTAATAAGCCTTGAGATCATAATACAATGTACAGTAAATCTCATGCTGATGGTTATGACTTGCACATCTTTTATTTATATAACAAGTTTTTATAACGAGTGTAATATAATTCATACAAAATACAAATCTTTGCATTCAATGAATACTAGTGATAAAATCAATACAAGAGTCTGTAACATTTTGTCTCAATTCATGTGCAATCTCAAAATTCAGCTCTGTAAAATGTCAATTTCTTCTAGTGGGATCTGTAGACGAATTTCTTTCTCCAACATCAAATCTGTAATTTCCTCTAGTTTAGAGTTTTGGAAAATTCTTACACCATCCAAGTAAAGACCCTATAATAAAATCCATGTTTATTTGTAATTAGACAGGAAGAAAATGGGAGATAATTAAAGAATAATGCCTACAATTCTGATCTTGACCTCAGAGTCTGAACACTAGTGCATAATTACAAAATTAAATTGACATTTCTTGCATGATCTCTAATGGATTGCAACCAATTCTTGGACAGTTCAACTTATTGTACACTCCACTTAATCATGCAAAGCAAATTCTTACATCTATATATTTCAAAATTAATTTGAATTGCAAATATATCTTAATACAAAATTTGTTGTTTTCTTGCCATAGTAAATACATTTAGGTCTGAAAATGCTTAATATTCATAACATGAATTTGAAAGATTCTGTTGATCAAGTAATGAATTTTGTAAAGCTCAAAAACTAGATGTACTGTGAGCAAGCTTATTAATTGATAACCTTGCTCCAATTCATCCAATGTTTCTCCATTACAAACTTAAGAAGTTGGCACATATCATATGCCTTTTCTGCAAGTGACTTTGAACTTGCTGAAATAACCCTTAATTGGCATAGTTCATGACATACCCTCAGGTCACAAGTCAGTCTTAAGGTCAAGTATAAGCTTCCAATGTTTCTCGATTACAAGATACTGCTAAGACAGGAATTATAAATATATCTGCAAGTGATCTTGAACTTGCCAAAGTAACCTTGGGTGAAGGTCATGACACATCCCTAGGTCATAATTAATGTTTGTGTGAAGTACGGACTTCCAAATACTGATTCATTACAAAGTTATGTTGAATTCATATCGCTTTTATATTATACAATTTAAAATTTTGTGATAGTGTACATAAGTGAACAGAAAAAAAAAACAGAAACAGAAAAAAAGTTTTTATCTTAAAACATGAAGAAATGTTACTTGTGACACAAATATAATTTATATGAGCATACAGTATTACCTTGACCCAAGGGCACTGCTGTAGAGACCTATAAAACAAGCCACTGGCTCTGTCACTTTGACCATATCTTGCCTGTGATGTTAAGAGTATAAGATGTGTCATTTAACAATTATTTTACATACAGTTAGAACATTTAAAAAAGATTATTCAATAGATAGCTTTGGCATATCATTGTTTACTGCTATCCTGCACATGTCTGACATGTAGCTTTACATTAAAAGTAATCACATGGGTCTATGTATCAGTATTTATGGATGACTTGAATGCAAAATTAACAGAGTTCTATTTTAGGTAGTCCAATCCTCAGGTTTTGAAAATGCTCACAAAAAAGTCTATAAATTCACAAAGTAATAGATATTTACCCATGGTATTTCATCGAAGATAATCACATCATGTAGGGAAAATTATCAAATCTCAAATATATTTTTATGAAACTTGAATAAAAGCACCAGCTATGCATTTTGTAATAGAAAATTGAAAATTGATCAATAAGTATATTTTAAAATTAAAAAAACATTATAGGTATCCAGGCATTCAGAGAAAATTGCATTTCTTAAAATACTTTTAATACATTTTTTTCTTATCTTTTTTTTTTCGTTATCTCTGAAAATGTTTTTACTCTTGTACTTTATGGGATACAAATGCCCACTTTTTACTAGAACTTCCAAAACTTCAAAGAACCTTGAATCATGACGAAATGGATGCATGAAAAGATTTCAATTTCCTGCTTCATACTGACACATTTTTAGTTAAATATTAATAATAATATTCCTCTGGCTAAGAAGCAGATATCCTTCAGTGAATTAAAATTATCTAGATATATATCTATAGGACATGTATGTCTTACCCAGGGTTCATAAGTTATGAAACATGAAAATTTGTATTAGTGCATAGAGTTTGATGACAATATCTTGAATAGTTTCTTTAAAACTGAGTTTTTCAAAAAAAAATTTGATTCAGTTGAAAAGCTCGCATCAATATGTATTAGCATGTGAAGTTTGATAAAAGGTATCTTGGATAGATTCTTTGAAACTTTGCTAAACACAAATTTATGACAAGAGACCCATGGGCCACAATGCTCACCTGAGTCAATATGGCCCTGCTGTTCTTCTTCAGCAGATTATTTGTAGTATTTATTCCTATGATCCCCCATTGTGGACCCACCCTAATCCCAGGGTCATGATTTGAACAAACTTAAGTCTACACTACTTAAGGATACTTCCGTATTGATATAATAACTAATCAGGGCTTTGCTGTTCTTGAGAAGAAGATTTTAAAAGATTAAAAGATTTTTTTCCTATATATTCCTATGTAAAACTTCGATACCCCATTGTGGCCCCACAAAAAAACCCTGGGGGTCATGATTTGAATCTTGAATCTACACTACCTGAGGATGCTTCCATGTCAATATGATTAATCATGGCTTTGCCATTCTTGAAAAGAAAATTTTTAAAACTATATTTCCTATGTAAAGTTTTGATCCCCTATAGTGGCCCCACCCTACCCCTGTTGATTCAAACTTGAATCAACACTACCTAAGGATGCTTCCATATTAATATGACTAATCATGGCTTTGCTGCTCTTAAGAAGAAGATTTTTGAAGAATTTTCCTTATATATTTCTATGTAAAATTTTTATCCCCCATTGTGGCCCCACCCTACACCCAGGGGTCATAAATTGAACAAATTTTCCTGAATTTACACTATGTAATAAAGCTTTCACATAAGATTCAATTTTTTGGGCCCAGTGTTTCTTCAGAAGAATATTTTAGAAGATGCCACCAAATTTTCACTAATTCTTAATGATCTTCCCTTGAGAAAGAGAATCCCCTTCACTCAAGGATGCTTTGTGGCAAGTTTGGTTGAAACTGGCCTAGTGGTTCTGGAGGAGGAGTCGAAAATGTGAAAAGTTTACAGACAAACGGACGACGGACAAAAGGTGATCAGAAAAGCTCACTTGAGCTTTCAGCTCAGCTGAGCTAAAAGTGAAGTCAAGGTCAGAGGAAAGGTCAAGGTCAAAAAAATGTTGATGAAGTTGAATAGTTCTTACCAGTATGTATCAGCATTTATTATACTTCTGTGATTTTTTTCTTTATAAAAATATTACAAATAAACCTGTAATTTTTTATAAGCAGCCCCTAGCAAGGAATAGTTTTTGTGCTATTAATAGTCAATGAAACTATTGACCTGCAGCATTCCCTTTCCCTCGCGCTTCCTCTTGCAACTCTTCTAGTTTTATCCGAATCATGACTTGACACAAGTAAAGTCTGCTTAGGTATAATAAAACACCTGTTTACTGGCTATGAGGACAATAGCAAGTTTATTGTCCCCCTCAACAGCAACTATTGCTGTCTTGGAGGACAATAAACTTGCTATTGTCCTCATAGCCAGTTAAAATGTGTATAATATGGTTTGATAAAAATATCTTGTATAGTTTCTTTGAAACTGACCCTAAACATTCATTAAAGAAAAGTAAGGTCAAGGTCAAAAAAAAAGTTTGATGCAGTTGAATAACTCTCATCAATATGTATCAGCATTTGAAGTTTGATAGAATTATCTTGAATAGTTTCTTTGAAACTGAACTAAACACAAAGTGTGTCTGAATGACAGATGGAAGGATGGAAAGACATGACAAAAACTACATATCCCAGCCATATTCATGGCAGAGCATAATAAAATGATAAGTTGGCTACCTCACAATATAAGTAGAGACTCCAGAGAACTGAGCAATGCTGTAGATCCGGATGATCCAGGGATTTTTCCAGGTAACACCTAATCTTGTTCATCACACCACTGCCAGCATGTGAAATGGATGTAACTGAATCTGAAATGTTCAGAAATACGACCTCAACTTTATTTTAGAAACAGAATTCTTCTGACATTAGAATAAGATGTAGATTTTTTTAAAATGAAAATAAAATGAGAAATTTTTACACAAAAATTAATGTACAAATGCAAGGTTAGGGCTAGGTATTGGTGGTTTTCTTTGCAAATGTATAAGAGGTTTGTTCATGATAAAGAGAAGGTTTAAACCCACTTTTTGAAACATACTTAGTACCCACATGTTATAGCCAGTACAAGTACATGTATCGGCTAGCTATACTGTGCCATGGGTACTTGTGTATATAAGAAAGTAAGTTTAAACCTTTTCAATAATTAGTCTAAGAGAAACCTCTATGTGTTTTAACTAACTCATTTGTATAGAACGCCCATACATAGCCTTAATGTACTTAATGTACTTGCGAATTCATAAACCTTTGTAATTATTTATACCATCATTAACAAGGTCCATCCTATGAATTTTCCTATGTATCAAAGAAGCTACTGCAAAAACTGTCAAGTCAGGGGACTTAACTCTCCCAAGGTGATGTCCACAGAATCTATCTAGTCTCCCAAACACCATACAGCCTCTCTCCAGCTCTGTAAACACATTCAGAAAGTACACATGATCTGGGAAAATTTCAAGCGCAGCCTCCACTGTAGCTCGAAGTGGACTTAATGAGGAATGGCGGACAGAAATGTGATGATGAATAACCTTGACCTTGTACCTGAAAATCTGCTCAAGACTGTGTTCAAAGTTCTTGTTCACATTGGTGTCATTGTCTACTTGAGAATTTGATAAGCTGAACACTAAAGATAGCACTTTATTTAAAACACACATGGCACTGTCTAGGTTAAGATCAGAGATGACATATTCAAACAATGTACAGCATTTAGTGAATTCTAGTAGATAAAGCCATTCCTCTTTGCTTCTTTGGGGGTTCTTCTTGTAGTCCTGTAAAAGCATTTCTATTAACTCCTCCATTTTTCTTCTGCTTTTTAGTTTCTTCACTGCAAAAGTGCTGTTGGGATTTTTTAAGTCATTATGTTGATTTTCACATAAACAAATCAGTGCATGAACACTTCTGTTCATTGACTCTGGACTTATACTGACTGTATTCTTGGTAAACTGAAACAAATCAGTATTAATTGGAAAATTTAGAAAAAGTTCCACAAGAGTTCTGTAAAATGCTGGAATGTATTCCTTGCCATCATCTGTGTTCACACACAACATTGGAATAGCCATCTCCAGCACCTCTACTGCTTCATTTTTACCTCCAAGACTGGAGAGTGAAAGGCTATACTCCATCCAGACTGCTTTACTATTTCTGTTTAAAGGATCCTTTAACACATTTCTGGCCATTTTCTTGAATTTCTTACAATCAACCTTTTCACAATTTTCATTTCTTGTTTGATATCTTAACCAGATAACAGTCAGTTCTCTATGAGGTACTCCATTAAACTTAGACAATCCTTGTTGAATAATATTGCCAATAAATCTATATAAAAATCTCTGCTCTGACAGTGGTCTTGGATTTTGGAAGTCTTTCATTCCCAGTATATTAAATATAACAGAGAGTCTCTCATCATCCTGGACATCTTCTCCAAGTTGACAATTTTCAAATCCAAGGAAAATAAGAAACTGAATCAGAAGCTTAAAATTCAACTTCTCTGGCAAACAGAAGAGAAAAGGTGAAATATCCTCAAAGAGAACAAGTCTATCTACATCCTCACAATCATCCATTGTCTCCCCTGCAGTCAGGTCTGGTTTCCATGGCAACCAATGAGCTGATTCTCTGAGGGATTCTAATTGTAGCCAAGTCTCCCATTTTTCTTTTTTGCTCTGCAAAATAGCCTCCTCTTCATCAGCTAATGAGGGATCTAAGTGAAGCAAAATATGAAAATGCCTATGCTTTACCAGTTTAACAGTTTACATGATTTAAAAAAAATCAAAATTGAGAAATATTTTATCAACCAAGGATTTTTCTGTCAATAATACATTTGAATTTTCTTAGTTATAAACACATCACCTTATCAATTTGTGGGGATATAGTCTTGGACAAAGGGACAATTTCTTTTATCCTGAGGAGAGTCGAAACATTTGATCTTGAGGTGGATTATGATACAAATACTTCAGGGCTTTCAAAAAGATCAGAAACAGGAAGTACTTTTAAAAAAAAAATTGGATATACTTTGTGAAAGCAATTTTAATTAGACATGTTACTGAATTTTTCTCCATCAATTATTCTGGCTGGTACATCCATGATTTCAGTCAGGTAAAAGTACCATGTACTGGTATATTTTGAAAGGCCTGCTATACTTACATGTACATGCCTTCTAGTTTACATATGAGTTGCAATCATAAAGACACAGAATCACAAAGAGAACTATTATTTCTCTTTTTTCAGTAAAGTGAACATACAATGCTCAATACCTTTCTCATTATTTTCACTTTCAGTTGGAAGTAAGTTTTTGTTATCCATCCAGTAATTCCAGCCTTTAGCTCCCTCCTCCCCAAATCGTGGCACCCCTATGTCCCAGAAGCTCTCCAGAATAATGGCTTTTTCACTAAGGTCAGCTGATTTAAGGCGCTCTGGGCAACATAAATTAAGTTCAACCAGAGCCTGGAATGAGGCTATGGCTTTCTCCTTGTGTCCTGCTTGCTTCAAAAATGTACATAACTGAACAAAGATACCTGTGATAGAAAATGAAATAAATGTCATCATTTGTAGATCTTAATCAGCCCATAATTTATGGTAGTTATATATGGAGTAGACTGCAAAAGTTTGTTCTTTATAGTCATAGAAATGCTTATGGATTAATTTATTCTAAAAATACATGTATACTGCACAGATAATAATGAGAAAGCATACCAAGTATTTCTTCTGACAGGTTTACTGGTAGAGTATGTGTCTTTAATTTGCCCTCCTGGTATTTAACAAGTGTAGTGATACACTTCTGATACAGTTTGCACACTCTAGACACAGAAAATTGAGACAGCCTACTTTGATTGAACATCAGGTACTGCTTCCACAGGGTAATGTTTGTTGGGTTGTGAAATAGCAGGTCTTCCATTTCTTTATTTACTTCATTTGGTTCCAGCATTTCCTGGCACAACTGCAAATACTTCAGTTTTAAAACAATGTTACCCTGATTCACTTCCATGGCTTTTTTCAAGATAGCAATCTTCTTTTCTAGGACAACAGACTTAGACATTTTGAAATATCCCTCAGATTCTGGCAGCCTTAATAAGGAGTCTTGATACTCTACAAATTCCAGCCACAGGTCAGTGTTGTGAGGCTCCTCCCGTGTTCTACGATTAAACTCGGCTGTCCTTTTGTTCAGTCTCTCCTCCATTTCAGTTAAACTGACATTATTGTCCACTGGTTCTACCCCCTCCCCCTTTATGTAATGTGAGGTGCTTGTGTCCATCAGTCTCTCTCTTATATCCTCATTAAGATTCCCATGAGTTCTCTCTGAGACCTCCTCTGGAGGGACAGGTATAACATCAGAAGGGACACTCTCAGTATCTTTGGATGGTACAAGATGACACAGTGGAGCTTGTTCAGAGAGCTTCCTGTTTTCTCTGCTGTAATACCTCTTTGTTTTGTGTTTCTTTTTGTTTTCTGTATCTCTAGATTGGGAATCTCCTCCTAAACTTGCTCTGAAAGACTGGGAAAAAGTAGCAATATGTCCTTTGTACAGAGATTCATACTTCCAGTTATGAATGTTGGATTTACGATCAATCCTGAAAGCATCCTCTGGTTCAAGATAAGGCAGCTCTTCAGTGAACACCTTGTTTCCTTGAGCCTCTGGAACCCTTCAAATATAAAACTGTTTCTTAGCACAAAGTGTAAATGCCAACCAAACTAATTGTAAAATGATACCATGAATTAGACAGTGGTGAAAAATTTAGAGAAAAAAAACTTACTTTGTCTTGACTTTGGCAAGAGGACTTGGTGATCTTGAAACTTCCCCTTTGTGACTTTTTTTCTTTTTGTTTTTATGTTTATGTTTTTTCTTCTTTCTCTTTTTTGGCTCTTTATTAAAAAATAACAAAATTAAGCTTCACAGCTCAGTTCACAGCATCAACAAGATGTACAGTTAAATAGTGCTTATAAGTGCCAGGGATGAACAATTTTGATTCATTATTTGTAATCGTTATTTCTATGAATTCAAAAAGTTTAAAATACATTTTACAGCTATAGGGAATGACAATCACTTTGCTGTAAGCTGCATAAATTCCTTATGTGTTCACTATAAATGTGTTTTACTGTATAGTGTTTTAGAGGGTTAAGCTTCTTTAACCATACCATATGGAATTGTTTTACTTTGTCAAGAATAAAATATGAGCATTATTGTATCAAGAAAAAGAAGTCTCTAAAAATGCTCTATTCTATTCACATAAAAAATATTATCATAGTAATAAGAAACACTGAAGCAACATTATTCCTTTCTGGCATGTTTTGTGCTGACATTTTAATTTTCTTGGATTCTAAATGAATTCCAATAATAAACAGAGACTGATTGGTAGCCTAGTTGTAGGACTTGAATGAATACTGGGGAAAAAAAAACAGAGAAAATAGTGAACCTTTAGCGTTTGCCTCTTCTGGCATCTCTTCAGAGGATTCTTGGATGTCTCTGTAATAAAATGAATCAGCATTATTTACACAGAACACTCCAGTCCATTATGAAGAATGTAATATTACAGTCTTCCATAATATACAAAGTTATATACATGTATGTTATATAATTTTTCATAATATGACTATAACAGAAAATGTCTATATTATGGAAAACTGTAACACTGGTATATAGAAAATTTTGTATAATTTTTAAAAATTAATGCTTAAGCTTACTATATATGTTTTATTATGAAACATTTTGGTTCTAAACTTTTGTTTTCATAGTTTTCATGGTGGAGGGTAAAAAAAAGTCTAAAAATATTGCTTATTTTTTCAATTTCATCGACATAGGTAGTGCACACTTTGGACATAAATATCTCCCAAAAAGAAATTTTTGGTAATGGCTGTAATTTCCCTGCATAGTTTGAGGTAGAACCAGTGACCTGATACAGGTCTTATCATGCCTTCATCCTTCCTAGTATCGCTCTGACCACAATTCATCTAATGTACAATTGATTATCTAGCTGATAATTAGCTCACCTGAAAGTTCAAGTGAGCTTTTCTGATCACATTTTGTCCGTCTTCCGTCCATCTGCCTGTCCGTCTGTAAACTTTCAACATTTTCGACTTCCTGACTCTCAAGAACCACTGGGCCAATTTCAACCAAACTTGCCACAAAGTATCCTTGGTTAAAAGGGATTCAAGTTCGTTTAAATGAAGGGCCATGCCTTCTTCCAAGGGGAGATAATTACAAATTAGTGAAAATTTAATGGCATCTTTTACAAATCTTCTTTTCAAGAAGCACTATGCCAGGAAAAATGAAACTTATGTGGAAACATCTCAGGTAGTGTAGATTCAAATTTGTTCAAATCATGACCCCCAGGGGTAGGGCAGGGCCACAATGGATGATCAAAGATTTACATAGGAATAAAATCTCTTGGGTGGTGTGTCAGGACTTACCCATAACCCAAATCTCCATGGCAGATGCTAGACTAACCCATGTGTGAGGACTAACCTTAATCTCTCGGATGGATGTGAGACTAACACTAATCGCAGTCGAAATTTTGTGCAAGGACTAATTAACCCTAATCCTTCAGATGGGTGCAGGACTAACCCTAACCAGTCGAAAAATGTGCAAGACAAATCCTTATTAGTTGAATGACAAAAATCTTCCGTCATAGTGCAATGAGCATGTGGATCTTGCAGATTTGGGGACAGGTAAAGTGAAGTCTACCCAGAAAAGCATTTAATTACTAAAAAGATAATAATCAGGTGCGTAGCTGCCTATACGCAAATACACAAGTGCGTACGCATCATTTTCAGAAAAAAAAGAGAGAATTATTCGGAGAAAGAAATCTCAGTACCATCCAACAAATATTTGTGTTTCAAATTATTCTGTGTCATACTGTGTTGATTTAAATTTTCGATTATCATGGCTGTATGATAAAATTTTAAATCTTTTATTTAATAACTGCTAAATCCAAATAAATCATTCATTATTTTGTCATTGTTCTATCATACATTGATATTTTTTTAAAAGATCTTTGAAAAATTAAATTTCAGCCACATCGTTGAATGCTATGATCTACTAGTATGATTTACAATACGATGTTTTTTGTTCATAATTAAAATTTTGTATACATGTTTTTAAACGTTAAGAATGATTATATGATACCAATTAATATATCGGTTAAATTTTTAGCCTCAATTATATGTACAATAAGTTTCCATGGAATATTAATTTTCATTAAAACAATAATATTACTATGTCTTCTATTTCCTAAACAAAAACTAAATGGCATAATTTTTATATTTCAAGAAAATGATTCAAATATTTGGTAAAACTCCAGAGCTTCTGGGCCCTCACCAGCAGGCACGTAGTATCAGGGGAGCCTCCCCCTTACTTATTCCCAAAACCTAACCTTTTACTATTGAAAATGTACATTGAAAGGGTGGACCCCCACTGTTTGTTGCACCATTGATTTGTGAAATCATGGTTATTTGGTAATATATTAATAAAAATTTGGTTTTTGAAAGATGGACCCCCCCCCTTCAACACACACACACACACACACAAGAAGTAGGACTTCGAATTTTGACAATCTTCCTTTTTCGTCCTTGCTTGTCAAAATTTTTAAAATTGTAATTTTTTCTTGGCTGACAAAAATTATATTACGTGCCTGACCAGAGCCCTTAAACACTGGGGGGGGGGGGGGGGGGGCTCAAGACCCCTTCCCTACCCAACCCCCTGCCGTTCTCTGCGTACTCATTTCTATTCTGGTTACGCGCCTGATAATAACTTTACACATCTTTATGTTCTTTAGATTATTGAGACCTGATTCTTCTAGGAACAATAACATCTCTGAATATTTCAAACTATGGGCATTGTCTTCTAAAACAGGATTTTTGCAGGAATAACTTCATAGCCATTCTTCGAAATTGGGCAAATAGTGCTTATAAGCCAGCAAAGAAACAGGTCGAAATAGAATTCTTACTGGTTTGACACACTCTCATTTGCCTGTGGTCCTTGTAATTCCGGGACATCAAGCTGTAAGTTTGGAAAACTCTTGTTCTGCAACCAGTCCAAGTTTACTGAAAATTTAAAAAAAAAAAAAGAATCACGTTTGAGTCTAACTCAGGATCATGCTACTATGAAAAACAAATCGATTTAGTTCTGAAAATGGGAAAGACCGACTATTAGAATGTGTTGTATCATCCCCGTCTGTACTTAATGGGAAAAGTGTGTTTTTTGATGAAACTGGAAAAAGGGGATTCATTTTTTCCTAAATCAGTCAATACGAAAGTGAAACGACTTTTTGTTAACCCGTCCATAGAAGTTTCTCAATGCAATACGTGTTATCTTATTACATTATGTTCAATCTTCAATGCAGACAATATCAAAAAATAAACATAATAAATACACTTTAAGTTCAAATTTATAAAATTTAGAAAAAGTATTCATTGTAACTAAATCGAACTATTTATGCACGATCTGTCTTTTTCTTTTTCATTTCCGGGATCTTTTTCCCTTTGTCTGTCAAACTGCATACTGTTTCATTTATGTTTTAAAAGTTAAAATTAAAAAGGAAAAATGGACTCAGCAACACTGAATTATTTTTCATCAATTAATCCTCTGACAAAGCGGGTTGTGGGTGATGTTTTACTGGTGGAGGAATTGCTTGGGGATGGATGGAGTGCAATGAACCTGAATGAAAAAGAAACTACTCTGGACGATTACTTTGTCAAACCAGACGTCAGAAGAGTGTACCAAGATGTTGACAAGACAGAGGAGTACCCACAAAGTTTTCCGCGATTGGCATTATCATCTGGAGAGAAAATAATCGTAGATGAGAACAATGATGTACGCCTATATTAAACCAAGTGCTCTTTTGATAACTCCAGCTTGCTGCATCCTAAAATGTCATAGTTGTATAAATCAGGCCCCGGGATCATGAAACATCTTAAGCTTAAGTCCAAATATTTATGTTGTACTTAAATGTTGTAGAAGTCAAGTAGTCCAAAAATTCAAATATTTTTCAATATTGCTTTACAAAAGTGTTGTTATATCTGTAGAGATTAATTCAATAATTAAAAAAATTTCACAGGTGATTGAAAATTCGACTTAAGTCTAAGTCTGTTTCATAATCCTGGGGCCTAGTATCCATGCTCTAGGTATTAAGTATCGATAATTAAAAATTTTTCATTTATCTTAGTTAAAAAAAATGAATGATTTAGTACGTATAGATAGTTTTCGATTGACAAGATTTTAGTAAGAGTTATTTTCCGTTGGTTGCCATACTGGAGGTATACAAGCCCAAATTCCTTCATTATTCAACCAATTTAAACTTGTCGTACTGGGCAATTGGGTGAGGATTACACAATTTTTCTTACGAATTTATGCTTACACAAGCTGCCTTTAATTCATAATTTTAGTATTTTAAAGATTTTTATTAGCCCTTATACTTCTGCCACACAAGAGGAAAATTCACTCGTTGGACCTCCAATATGGCGACCAACTGGAAATAACTCTTGCTTAATTCAGGCCAGTCAAAAACTATCTATTTCATAACATGAGAGTCACATCAGTTAAGTGTGATTACTTCACTGTACATTAAACAATTGATCTACTTTCATATCTTTCATTATCTTCTCTTCAGTTTTGGACATGGCAAGATGAGCATTCTGCACCTTTTTCATGGCGATCTAAGGTAGTATAAACACTTTAAAATTGTAATACACCACTTAATTTTTTTTTTGTACAATCAAACATAGATTGCTTTTCAAGGGATCTAACAACATTCTGATAAGCTTCGTCTTCATTTGTCTTTTCATCTAACAAAAGTTATCTCATTAAAATTAGCAGGTTATTAGAAGTAAATTTGCAAGTTAGGCCAGGGCTAGTAATTTTATGATCAGGGCTAGTAAAACTTTGGGAAGTAGCCCAACTGGTCTAGTACATACACTCTTAAAAGTTAATGTCACTCATTTCTTCAAGCTGAACACTGCCGAGTTTTGGTGAAATGCAATAACTAAAACCATTTATTGAATAAAGATGCTCACATCATATTTTGTCACAAAGAATTGAAAGGTATTAAGAACTAGAGCAAACTACATTAAAAAAAAATTATTTCAGCTGTTGTTGGCATCCATTTTTACTGTGTATTGGTGTTAGGACTGCAGTTTTTTTTTTTTACTTTAATGTGGTTTAGAGTCAGGAAGACTTAACTTTGGCTGACTTGGAACCTGAAGAGTTGGCAAAACCTTCAAAAACAACCAAATCAAAAAAGCAAGAGTCAAATTCATCTGTCAAACCAAGTGAGAGACAATTTCAATATAAGAATGAAAGTTTATGGAACAGTACATTCCCAGAAAAGCTGAAAGAAAGGAATTCAGTAAGACGTACTGAAATCAACACACTAGAGGACCTGAAAGACTCCGAGAGAAGAAGTCAGAGCCCTGAGGCCATTAACTATGCATTCAAAGGCAGCAATGGGGATCTTTCAGGTCCTCCTCCTGAAAAGCAACCAAATGGTACACTTCAAGACTCACCTAAGAGAGCATCACCAGCAAAGTCAGAAAGTAAAAATACAAAGTTACATTTATCATCCTCATTTTCTAGAAAAAATCAGCAGGACTGTGAATTTCTGGTTGAAAAGAGAAAGGAATCTTTGCCAAAATCCAAGTCCAACTCAAGGGAATTCAATGATGTTGAACTGAATGCATTTGATAACCCTGCAATGGCAGTGGGTGTGGCATTGATTAACCAGGAAGAGGACAGTTCCAGTAGCTCTAACTCCTCCCCCGCCCACAAACCTCTGCTTAAGGAACCAATCAGACAAATCATGGAGCGAGAGGAAGTGATTTTTCAACAGCCCTCTTTTAGTGAGGAGGATGGGTATAGGACTGCTGAACTCAAACAAGTTGACAACACACCATCAGAGGTAAAATGTGCAGATTTTACAGGCTATTAATTCAGTCTAGTAGATTTTAAAAAGTATTAAAATTCCAATCATTCAGTTTTTCCCCCCAACCTTGTTATAAACTTCTTGGATTTCTACAGACAGAGGTTTAGAGAAAGAGGTAAACATGCTTTTATTTTAGTTTAAAGGTATTGATTGGTATGGTGATCAATTTTTTTTAATTAAAAAATTTAAGAAGGGTTTTGGTATTTTGCATTGGTATAATTTATTAGGAAATGAATAGATACATTTTTTACTGAGCACTGAATTACAAAATAACAAAAACATCTACTCAACATGCTCAATCTACAATGTTTATATGCATCCCTGTATTATGACATACAGTTCTTATACCCCCCTCTTGAAACAGAGGTATATAGTGATGGGGGTGTCCATACGTCTCTCTGTCTGTGTCCATCCATTAGGATTGGAGTACCCATCTCTTATCCCCAACTCCTCCTATACCATTGAATAAATTTTAATGAGACTTTCACAGAATTTTTATTACATAGTCAGGAATAGACATTAACTTTCTTATTCACTTGCCATTCGGGGAAGTGAACTCAATTTTTGACTTGTCTGAATGCAAAAATTGCTTGCCCATAATTAAGAAAGAAGAAATTAGTTTTATTTTATACCGTGATACTATGATAAGAAAGAGTGTGACCAGATACATTTCTGTATGTTTGGCAATCTGAGGTGCCAGAAAATAATGTTGATGCTATGTTGGACATGAATATATACTGCTGTCCTTGTCAATTTAACCTGTAAACTCACATTGCCATGCAGCAAGAACAACCTAGAGCACGTATTTATACCCTGAAAGAAACTAGAATAACGAACCCTGGCAACTTTTAAATGAACGCTATAATATAGAAATACTTCTGAGGGATTCAGAATACAAAAACAATATCAGTCACATTCCCAGTGAAAATCAAGATTTCAATTTATTGTTTAATCTATAAACTAATGTAAGCTACATAACAGTATACGTTTCTATCAGAAATATTCATTTGCCCATTTGGACAAGCTAAGTACCTTGATTATTTTCCTTTATATTCTGTTGAACATTGTAATACTTGGACCACTTGATGGTGTTCCAACTCAAGCCACACACTTGAATTTACACTTTGTAAAGATTATAGCTGTCACAATTTTTTCTTCTTGTCTGACCAATACTTGGAAATAAGAGAATGTTTCAGTGTTACTATCTCATATTGTTATTTATTTTCCTAACTCCTGTTGAACTCAATTAGAATTTCCTTCATGCACCCTGGTGAGGGATGTTTATAGCTTTTATTATTTTATATATATGTACATGTAGATTGAGATCTTTGAGGTTCTGCATGGAAGTTGGAAAAGATGAAAAAAATATTATCAATTTACTGACACCACACAAAAGAAATGCTGGATAAATGATTCTTTGATCAGAGAAGCTCACTTGAGCCTTTGGCTCAAGTAAATTAAATATCTTAAGAAAAAAAAAATAATTTCTAGTGATTGTAAAACAGAAGGGCCACAGTTAAATTACCAGTAATATGAAACCATTCTGATATGGAATAGATAAAATATATAATTAATGGGTCTGGGGGCACAAAAAATAGTATTTCTGTACATGTAATTCACTTTTGAATTAAAGACTTACAGGCTTTAAGAATTAATGTAACACAGTTAAATTTATAAACTTGGTGGCATGTCGAAACAGTGTACCGATACATTAAAATTGTTAAAAATGTACTAAATTCAGTTAAGGCCCCAGTAAGGGTTGCGTAAGTGATCAATGTGGCCCTTAGTGGGCTTCATGCATATATATGTTACATTGAGAGGTGAATTTGACATCATTTACTTTTTTTCATTTGCCTAAGATTTGACAAATTCAGCAGAATATATTACATAGGTACATTTTATGATGTATTCTATTTTATTGTGTGACTTAATTTTTCAGGCATTAAATGATTCTTCTATACCAATGACTGGGTTTGACTTCTTGGATCAGTGGTGAGGAATATCCAGGATTAAAGAGCTACATGTATACAGAATGCAGCAAGTAAGGAACACTGCCACAATTATAAGTATAATGATTCCATCAGTGTGTAAACATGCACAAGAGTAAGATACTGCACTATGTAATTTTCCACTTTATCATGTAAATTAATTCTTATATACAATGTACATTCATTGTATACAGTACATGATTATACACCCAAACTCAATAAATTGGTGCAATTCAAGATATTTTTTCTTCAAAAATCGACTTTTGATTATCCATCTGCTAATAACATTTTCAGATAGATCAACGTATCAAGTTTGTATTCCCAAAGATTTTTCAAGTTAAGTTCATTGGTTAAGAAATTACGTCAATTTGAAATAAAGGTGTATTGTTGATCATTATTTGCTGAGAAACAAGCGTTACGTATCATATTATAGTTTTCCTTTAAGATTTTAGGGTGAAATAATATAGATTGTAATAAATCCTCAATGTCAAAAGCAAATCAGTCTATTTACTTTCGTGATAAGACAAAAAAGGTCAACTGTCATAATGTATTTAATGAATTGATGCAATCAAATTATCGTATTATATTTTTTTCTTCAAATGAATTTGACATATCTCTAAAATTTTATATTTCAAATATGCTTCAAGAAAAATCAAAACTGCCCAGCGCAAATGGGGGTTCTAAATGAAAAGAGGATCCATTTATAGAAACGTTAAATAAAACGTTGTTCATGAATTGTGATCTTGTTCTTATTTACACTTTCAAATGCAACAACGTTCGTATGTAACGAATGTTTCATGAGAAGTAATATTTACTGTTTTTAAGATTAATTCCAACAAAATGGACCAATTCATGAGATGTAATTTCTGCTCTACTTGTGCCATGGTATTGAAAATGTCAAAAGAAATCATAATTTGAACTGCATCATATATATCATCGTGTCATATTTTCCTTGAACTGTACTATATGTACAAACGGATAAGAGATATATGTAAAATTGTCTGTATAGACGTTTTAACAGAACCTAAAATAATGTAAATAACAATTTTTCTGATGACTTTTAGCTTGAAATCATTTGACCATCAATGGAAACTTCCTTCGTATTTCTGCTTGGGTCAATGCCATAGTTCAACTAAAATAAAATGCTGAAATGTACGTTACTTAACATAAAATGCGAGTTTAACAGTATCAAAATTATAAGAGAGAAACAAAAAACCCTGATGTAGATTCAGAATAGAAACTCAAACCTTCGGTAACGAATGTTTCAACACCTTTCAAGACTAATAGAGGACATTCAGGTGTAGATTGATACTGGTTGCGTAGTTGTTGTCGATTGTTATTTAAATATTAAAAGTTACATACTAATTCATTCCATCTGATTCATTGCTATTGCATTCTAGAAAACAAACTCACCAACACTGTCTAGACTTTAGAAAAAAATCATATAAAGGCAGTACCGTACTCCGGATGTCAAAATTTGAATACTGGCGCAAAATTTTTTGACTACGTATATGTGCAGAAGATGTTTGAACTCATAAATCATTCTTTTTTAAGAGGTTTGGTAACGAATGTTTCGGTAACGGTTGTTTCATTTAATCATTTTCTCTTAAATAGTAAGCTAACAATAAGACATTGTTAAATCATTGTTGGAGCATGGAATACAGTTGTTGGATAGAAGAAAAAGTATCACATGTTTAACTATGATATCATTCTATTTCATCTATTAAAGTAATACAACGAATGTTTCATGCCTATCCATACGCATGTAAAATAGGAAGATAGAATGTAATTTCAAAGTATTGGTAACATATACAAGGCTTTGTACCATTTATTTTTAATTTTCAAGAAGTTTCCTTCAAAATAAAACGTATTCCAATCTTACAGGCATACAATACCGAATACTCATACTATATTTAATGTCACAGACCGTTTTTATTTTGTTTCTGGCGACATGGGGATATCAAATCAAAGTTTGGTAATATATTTGTGATTATGCTCAATAATTTATTAAAAGCATTTTACAAATAAATGTTTTGAAGACATATGCTATCTAATTTAAGATTCAACTGTTATTTGTACAAAAAATAGCCATTTAAGTGTAATTATTCGATGTTGGCGACAGTAACGTACGTTTCAAAAATTCACTACATGCCAAATAAAATATCTCAATATGATTTGTTCACTTCATTTTTGTATTTTTGCCTTAAAGGTTACATATTCATGCATTCATTCAAAAGGTATTTTCTTTGACATTTCATTATTTTTTTACGCTTAACCCCCAGCGACATCATTTGCACCATTTTATTGAGCTTGAGTGTATAGATATACATAATATATGAATATTATAGAGAGAGAGAGAGCATGTAACATGTACACTGCCTGCTTTTGTTATATAAAATCTTAATTTTCTATAATTATACATGTATTAGTGTTTCATTTTGAGAGAACTGCTGCAGCAGGTTGTATACTGGTATCTCATAATATTGTGTAAGAAAAGTTATTCCAAATTCTAACTTTTCATTAAATGCTATTCATAAACCTAACAATGACCTAACTTTTAAGTGGCAAATTATTTTCTAAATTTATAATCCATTTTTAAAACAAAATGTCTTATTTAACTTCTAAATTGGAGAGTTTCATTGTGTCACAGTATTGGAATACATGGAAGATTGGCACTGTCATGAAGTACAATTTTTATTTTTTTATTTCAACATGTGAATCTACGTGAAAATTGAACAATAATAACAACTTAAAGCTTGTAAAATATGAACTTAATTTTGGTTTTTATGAGGATTACATGTATGTATTTATGGTCTAAATAAAATAGAAATAGGAATGGAAGACAGTCTGTAAAATTACTCTTTATTTAAATAAATTTTTCTCCAATGTGTTCCATACCTTTTTCACCATCACACAAGTCAAGAATCAGAAAACAATCCAACGGTCCATTAACAAAAAGGATATGTGCTTTGTATCCTAAATTTTGGAAAATACCACGATGTATGATTTACATCTGAAACGTGGGAGGTTGTTAGTCTGCAATTGATATTTGTATATTTTTTCTTGTTAATCTTTATTACTCTATTTTTGTATCACTTCAATGTTAAGGTACATGTGTATTTGATAGTTATACTTAGTAATTAATTTATTTTTAGTGCATGTGACACACAGACTGACTAAGCATTTTATGATTACTACATTATTTCACAGAATGTTTTTTAAAGATATGTTGATAAAGATTATAGTTACATACATATTAATAACTTCTAAGTTTTATAAGGATAACTTTTTCTCTACATTTTGATGGTGGTCCTTACATTATGATGTTATTTTACTATACTGTAGATCACTTTTATTTTATCTTATTTTTTCATGGAATATAATTTATTTAAAAGTACATGTAGTGTTTTATTAGAGATACATAAATTTTGCAAATCCCTGATGAGGAAATTTCTATAGTTTTGACTTGTATGTGTATGATTTACCTCCCTCATGTGCAGTGTTGGTCAAATACTCTCGATTTACATTTAAAAAACTTATCACCATTCACAGTTCAAAAACAGTGTTCACATAAACTCCAGACCTGTGAATTCATTCAGTAGAACTGAGTTCCCTTAGCGTTTTCTTCAGTAATGAAATTTTGAGTTGTTTGTCAATTATTCAGCATAATTCTAATAAACATTGATTTTGAAAAAGGGAAATATTATTTCTGCTTTTGTGGTTTTAGTATTTACATGCTCTATATTATGAAAACCTGCTAATACCAATTAAAGAAGCATTATTTTATTTAAGTACAAACCAGTAGAGCTACAGAGACTTCTGGTTAAACTGAACAATTTTGTATTTGTTAATTTCTGTAGTTAACATTTTAAGATTGAGATCTTAAGTTTGACTGTATTCATATAAAATAAGCCAAAATTTAAAGTATTTGCAGCGTATTCAGATCACATGCTATATCTACATGTAAAGCCACATGTAACAATATTCCTCTCTTTTTCCAAGACAAGATTATCAGGCCAGGTGATAGGAACAGAAACAAATATAGTGCAGTGGGACAGAATTTCTACATTGATACCAGAGTAATTTCAGAAAAAGAGGGTGCTAACACTAGAGAAACTGTGGTGTATCTGTTCGATAATCTCAAAATCGCACATTCAAATTGCTGTAAGCAGCATCACACAGTAAAGTATCTGAAGAATCAAGCATCAATATTTTATAATTTTAAATGGGGAAAACAGTAACAGCACTAGATGTCTTGCCTGAATACATTTACACAGGGAACATGTAACAATGAAATCAATGCCTTTCACTCTACCAGGATCTTCTCCTAGTCTGTAGCTCTCACAAGATGCAGAGCAAAAATACTGGATACCAGCTCAGACCTCTGTTATTCTGCAGAACAGCTTCATTAGAGAGTCACAGTTACATTCATTAGCTAAACAAACAAGTAATGGTGTGTGAATAAAGTGTTTTGCATCTCAAAAATAACAAAGGTGCTTTTAAGCTTATTTCAAGTGTTTATTTCCATAATAAGAGGACATATTTAATACTGATGAAGGACAGGTCATTTCTTTGCCATAAATCACAATACTATTACTTTGTAAGAGATGAAAATCCACAAGTTATCAGAATAATTTCTAATAATCTACAACTGAAGACAATACATCATTTAACCTTGACCATGTAGACTAAAACATACATCATATTAAAAATTAGACAACTTTGTATTCTGCATCAACACCATTCTATATGTAATTTCAAATACATGTACAGTAGTACTTATACACAAAGACATACTGAATTTTTGCAGAAAGGAACTTTGTAGAATTCCATGTATAATATATATTTTTTTTCAAACAAGAATAAGTCTGACTTGCATGTACACCAGATCACTAAGTACATGTACATGTACCTAACAGTAGCATACACACACAGCCCAGTCTCTCCTTGATAAATCAATTCTTTAAAAACTACACTATTATACATGTACACATTATTAGCAAACAAATAAAAACAAGGACTAAATGCAAATCTTCCAACAGAAATCTCCAACTTAAAAAAAAAATTACACTTTATTCCAAACATTTATCAATTTCATAAATTAAAATATATTTCTATAAAAAAAAAACAGTAAACAAATTTCAGATTTTTTTTGATAGCAGACATGTACCTGTATTTTCACTGACAAGATTCCAGTGTTGTGATCTATGGCATAGAGTTGCCTCCCCTTATCAGTATCCACTCCTCCCACA